CGGTTTTCAATATATTCAAAATATATTCTCCTATTCACTGTGATATTCCTCAGCCTCTTAAAAAACCTACTAGTTTTGTTTCGATTGTCTAGAGTGTCTTTTTTTCTTTGAGCATTTTATTTTCTTCTCTCAAGTTTTTTACTTCTGCTGATAAATTGTCCAAATCCTCAACAGTTTTTATATACAACAGTCTTCAAGATAATATCTACTTGCTCCAAGGAGAGGGAACGGAGACTTTCCAATTACATAATCGTTTTAGTTCAATATATCAAGTTCAAAATTCATTGGGAAACTCTCCAGTCTTGAAAATTTTTCAGAAGTATTCTTGTCACGTCCGAAAAACTTATCGTGTAAAAATAACTTTAGATTTTCACTGTTAACACTAGATTTCCAACAATTTCAATGGAGCTCTCACAAACACGCGTCGACATGACTCGTCGTTACCGTTTTTTGAAAGGACAAAACACAAGCACTATAGTATAACAATTTTCAATTAAAGGTAACTCATGTACAAATTGAACTGAGAGCTAACGGCAACAATGTAAAATGTTAGAACTAAATTCTAACCGGGGTAATTTTTATTGTCTATACATCGCCATTGTAAATAATTGAAAAGTAAGATGATTCCATAAAATTTGACCCCCGTAACAAGATAACTTCTGCATATCGATAGGATGTACGAGAGAATAGGTGAACCAGTTCGTTGAATACTTCGCAACATCGGTAAACTGATCAACACTTCGCAGGTCTATTATATTTGCGTCCTTAAAATGCCATAACTAGTCATTCGGTTTCTTCATAATCAAACGTCCTTATATGCATAGGCGTAGTGAGTTCTGTTTCTTGTGAAGGTCACTTTTTTTGTATTTATTAAATATATTTTATTATATTTATTAAATAGACTGTTACATTTATTAACTTTAGAATATAAGATAGAGTTGGCCGATACTTGTTTTTCAAAATACATTATCATAGATTTTCATCACATTCACACTTTATTGTGAGATAATTAGTTGACCTAGTCATTAAACTTAGGTATAAATGTTAGTTAAACTCAGATATAACTGTCATTAATTAGTTCCTAGAATATTATTAGTTTTTAGGTAGATAGTAATATTTCAAATAGTATATAGAATTCAGTTTGTTAGTGAACACGCTTGAAAAAGCTACTGTGCAGCGAAACACTTGTTGCGGATTTGTTAATCTGTTCTAGTGAAAATCTCACAATAAAGTGTTATTCAAAATATAACTTTAAAATAGATTTTGAGGTAAGTAAACAACTAACAAATAGCTGAATAGTTTGATTGAAATTTATTATTTTTATAGCATTAAGATGGATGCCGTAGCAGGTCCAAGTAATGTACAAAGAAAGTGAAAGTTTATGTCGTCAGAAGAAAAACAGATTGTCTGTGGAGTGAACGAAAATTTAAAAAATATACTCCCTACAGAGGAAGCTGTAGCTCAGTGTTAATTTTTAACGGAAATATCTCTGTCGACAATTGAACGCATTGTACGGGAAAAAAAGGTGACTGGGATTGTGCAAGCTTCATTGTCGTGGTAGAAAAAAAAATTGAATTAGACGAGTACCAGAAAAATTTTGTACGCTATACCATTCATTCTTTCTTTTTTGAGAATAAAGCGCCAACCTTCGAATCCATTAGGACAAAGGTAATGGATAATGATCTCATTCCAAGAATGAGCAAAGAGAAGTTGAGGAAAATAATAAAAGAAGATTTAAAATGTATATATGCCAAACGATCCCGTAGATCTGTCTTAATAGAAAGAGAAGATATAGTCTCATGGCGACGGAGATATCTTCGCTCTATTAGAGAAATGCGTTCTGCTCACAAAAATATTTATTATCTGGACGAAACGTAGGTGAATGCTAGTCATACAGTATCTAAGATCTGGCAAAATACTAGTTATCGTCAAGCATTTGTGGACGGTTTATCAACAGGGTTACGCTGACCAACGGGTAAAGGGCAACGACTAATTGTCGCCCTCATAGGTAGCGAGAGTGGCTTTTTAGACGATAGTGCACTAATTTAAAAAAAACCGGGGGATTATCACGAAGACATGGACGCCCAACGCTTTGAAGGTTGGTTTGAAGTAATGGATAACGCTTCTTATCACAGCCGATTAGTAGAACAGCTGCCAACTATGACCACCAGAAAAGCAGACATGCAGAGTTGGTTTTCCGAGGACATGGTTGAGGCCGAGCTTTTGAGTGTCATTAAACAGCATTGTGACAGATATCGCCAGCATGTGGTGGATACAATAGTTCGTGCTGAAGGCATCACCATTTTGAGACTTCCTCCTTACCATTGCGAGTTAATTAATCTGGACTCAAATCAAGGGTTACGTAGCTCGTGAAAACGTGACATATAAAATTTCTGCGCTCGCAATGGAACGGATACGGAAAGAAGATTGGGCTAATGCTGTAGCCCATGTGATCAAGGAAGAAAAGAAATTGTGGAGATTGGACGGGATGGTAGACACTGTTTTCGACCAAATAATAAGAGATTCAAGTATGATTGGAGATTCCTCTTCGGACGAGTCAATGGATTCTGAAAGTTCATAAGCATAACATAGGTAATTATTTCTTTGCTTTGTAGTTCTCTTTCTATATAAAAGGAACATAATAATTATTTTGTGAATTTTATTTTTGAATAACTGTATTAGGCATAATGAGAAAATGTAATCAGTTTTATCATTGACACCAGGTAGCGCCACCTACAATAACACTTTTTACGTAATTACCTATGTGTTTAAATAAGTAAAAATATTATTTTGGTACGCCTCTGCAGAGTTGGTAAGAGGATTATCCGTTGGTCACTTCAAGTGCGACGTTGCTAATGAATCACCTTCAATTGAAAATTGTTATAGTATACCCTCAAGGCGCTTTCAGAGCGGTGCCTTTGTGAAATGAGTGATTCACATTGGATTTGAATCGCTGGAGATTGAATCCATTTGGAAAAACGTTCCCAGGAAGTTTATTCCACATAAACGCTGTTCTCCAAATGGAAGAGTTCTCAAACAGTGAAATTCGAGGTGTACTGAGTTGAACCTCAAAACGATGAGCAGCCACACTTCCTCGCGTATTTTTGATACGTATCGCCCTTGGTGGAATCAAATTAGCCAAATCACTTGAACACTTCCCGTGAAAGTATCTATAGAAGAGAGACAAATCTTCAACCTTTTTTCAATGTTCCAGACTATCACGGTTGCAAGTGATGTTTGCGTCTCCAATCAGGCGGATGGCTCTTTTCTGGATGGAATCCAGCAGCTTCAGGGTATGCCCGGGGCGAGGCTCCATACATGAGAACAATAGTCCAAAGAAGGTCTGATCTGAGCTTCATAAAGCATCAGAAGTTTCTGAGATGTGTACAGTTTTCTGGTTCGGAATAGTGTTCCAAGCTTTTGACAAGCAGCCTTTGCAATTCCAGCGACATGATTGTGCCAAGACATATTGCTGTCCATTTTAACCACCAACCAACTTATCGAAGCAGAAAGCGGAATTGTCTGACCTAACATTATTATATCCGGTTTGGAAACAATTATCTTTTTGGAGGAAACCGATGCCTGGGTTTTTGTGACATTGTATTGAATGTGATTCTTTCCATCCCAATTCAAAATTACTTCTAGATCCTCATTTAGATATCCAACTTCCTGCTGCAGGTCAAGATGTGCATCCGCAGCCGATGTCCGATTGGTTTTTTTTCCAATAAGTCGTTGATTACAATGAGAGAAGGGTTGGAGACAATATGGATTCCTGTGGAACACCAGCGTTGATGGTGAAAGTATTCGAGAGATATCTATTGACGGCCACTTGCAGGAAACGGTCTTTCAGGAAGCTGAAGAGCCATACACAAAAATTATCCGACAAGCCATAGCATCGAAGTTACAGAGAGAAATATCACAATACCTATATTCCAATTGGAAAATCACCAATGACGTAACTACGTCAAAATCAGTGACGTATTATCTTCAGCATATGCATTGAAAAATTTGCATTAAAAAATCGATTTCTTTCAGGATTTTTGTCGGAAGTACATTGTTTCATAATTCAGTTGCTTATTGTTTATAGTATCTTCGGAACCAATTCCTCGTTGGAACTTTTATTGTTATTGGTTTCTGGAATATGCAACCCTTTTCAAAAACTTTATATGAGATTTGAATTAAGAGAGATGAACTCATTCATAGTTTGAGATCAATACCATTTAATTTTTCTTAAACAATAATGCGTATTTTTTAATTACTAATCGACTCCAGATCAATGTCCGCGAGAGCCGAAACGGAGGGCGACCTGGGAAAACCTCACTGAAAATATTAGAGGTTTAAAATATATGTCTTCATTCAAAATTTGATGCTTGAGGGTGCAGAATTTTACTTATAAGGAAATCTTTCGATCTTTGAGTGAAATTCCAGAAATTTCTGATAAAAAACATTTGTCTTCATCAGCACCTCTCTGGATAACCTCTCAAAGACGATTCATTCAATATTTCAAACAAATTTCAACTATATGAAACGACAGTTCTTATGAATCATTCATACAACTCTTTGATTCGAGCCCAGCTATATGAATTCCATTCATTGAAAAAAAAATTGTTCATTCGAAATATATATTATCAACATATATCAGAATGAATAACAATTTCTGAATTACTTATATGAAAATACTCGTATTTGTGAGATTTGTCTGAGATGACGATTAGGTTTACAATTTTAACGTTCACTGCGTCAAAGTTCACATAGAAGCGTCCTATGAATATTAGTGTTTTCAAATGTCATTTTTATAAATTTTGAGTAACAAAATCCCCAGTCTATGTGAAGGTCAATCTTGTTTTTATATGTATGCAATCGGATATCATTCTGATGGTTGAATAAATACGATTCTCGAGCTGTAGAAAGCCAAAACATCTCTTTCCCCCTTAAAAAACTAATCTCTCCCAAAAAGATACCCCTTTCATTTTGAAATAATTATAATAATGAAAACTTACCCATTCCCCCTGTGATAACAGCTATGAAATCCATCATGAAACTTGGGTGATGTTGATGAGTTATGAATCCATTGAAATTCCTGCCAGATTTCACAACTGTGATTGTAAGTTCTGTTATCAAACCTGTACGAGTATGTGATATTCATACTGTCAGCATTATACATTTTGGGAAATAGTATACCGACTATTTTTGAACGATTTTTCCGAGGCATTCCCCTTTCAGACACGAAGAATGGATTTTTGGAAAATACTGTCATCACTGCTTTCGAATTAGGATCTGACTTTCGGTTTTCTATTGGACTTGATACAGAGACGATAATTTCGGCGTCGTTTGGTGATCCATTGGCTTCAGTTATGGGATCAATAGTGCAATAATTTTCGCAATCTTTTATAATGAATTCATTTCTATAGTAGTGATTGGAGGAAAGTATTGAAATGTAGAAGTTTTTTCTTGAAATTCCCATTGAATTTTCATATTCACTAAGAAGATAATCAAAACTTGCTAAGATAGTGTTAGTAGACCCAAACTCCACTTGTACTTCCTCTAAAATTCCTTTGTCAATATCGATGAGACCGTCAAAGATATCAGCAATTACATTTAGCTCGTCTTCTTTCTGTACTGGGCTGAATCCCGACAATATTTTAGCAACATGAACAACGTCTTGTACCTGAAAAAACTTGGAGTAGCTTTTGATTAGAGTTGAAAGCCGGTTAGATTTTTCCCGGCTTGAAATAGATGACTCCATGAGATATTTCAGCTCATTTGTAATATTAGTAGGAATGACTAGACCAAAATTCTTCAAATTTGAAAATTTGCAAACCAATCTGTTATTTTCTGTTTGTACTGTGCTGACTTTATTCCAGTAACCAAAAGTTTTATCAATTTCATACACCCAGTTTGAACAATAAGGTGGCTCATCAAAAAAGGCCATTGGGTAAACCAACGTAGCTTCAACTTCCTCTTGTATTTCTGGTATGTGAATACTAACAATAGCACTGGAACTCTTCTCGTCAAAGAATCCGTTGAAAAAACTCGTGTCATTATGTAAAGTAACAATGATTTTGAATCTTTGAGTCACATCAACATGTTTCAGTACAGTTTCATTTATTATCAGTTGGAAGATATCACTGGAATTCCACATTAAAATAGAATCTGAGAACGCAATTGAAAAAGAAACAAACTTCAGTGATACTTCGAGGGTATGATACACCTGATAATCGAAACTGGTGGATATGACAGCGACTTTCGGATTCAAAATTGAAGTGGTGGAATTAGAAGTGTCTTTCAATCTCCCAACAATGTCCAATATTCTGTCAGTTGCTTGATATGTCATCTGGGATTTTTTCAGAATATCCACTGGTGCCATTCCAATATTATTTATGATTTCCAAAATTGAGTTGAAAACAAGTGGCGATTTATTTGAAAATTGTCTCAAAAACTCACTGAAGAGGTAAATGTCACGTGGCTCAAATTTTTCATAATTTTGAGCAAGTTCTATAATTTCATCAATGTACTTTTCAGGATCGTTGGCACTGATAATGTTAGTTAAGTTGAGACTCATGTTTGTTGGGCTGATAATATTACAACTTTCGTTTAACACGGTCCATTGTGCTCCATCCACAAAGTTACCTGAAAATTCAATGTTATTCTTTAGTTTTCAAGGATAATAAAAAAGTTGTTTTCAGGGTATTCATTCTAGATTCGAATACAGAGTTTAATTTGACTGACGACTATAATTTGTGGAGGTGTTTTTTTGCCATATTTTATGGAAAAAAATCATAATAACATATCCGGGATATCCCTATCTGTTACTGTTGAGAAATAACTTCTGTAATCATCTATGTCAATAACTGAAAAGGCTCGTTTCAAAACAGTAACTTCGGGACAAGCAAGTTCATGACTCAATGCTCTGTACGTTTACTGGGCACTCTCCTTGATGAAGAATCATCCAGGATTATAATTAGAATACGTTGGAGAAAAATCATGATGTCCTCTCTACTCTCGAATCTAATAATCATACCGGCTTGCCGCACTAAGGCAGAAATCTTAGCCGCACAGATGCAGAAGGCTGTCATTCTTGGCTCACTGCGTTTGCTCAGGGCACATGATTCTCGGACCCAATGATCACTTACCCCACGGTGTGGGGAGTGGTCATTGGTTGATTATGCTGGCGCGCCCTC